GGGTCTGCCCGGCTCGGCAAAGGTTATTTGACTTCGAGAGTCTGTGTATGATTTATGGAGGGTAAGGAAAACAACAATGGGTTTCGGTAACACTACAGACAGTGCTTTTGCAGAAATGTTACTGCATTGTTCCTATGATGGAACTAGAGACTCCGGGGAGATTTTTTCGAGGTGAGAATAATTATTTGACTGATTTTTACTTGAGATCCTGCGATATGTATGTAAGCGATCTCATTTGTACAAGTCATTATTCTATAATTGAAAGGCGTAAAGTAAATCAGTTTTGGCCAATATTGGTTATTTGGTTATATTTTATTTAGTGTTTTATTTAGAAGCCAAACAATTTTCTTCAACAACAAGTAAGCTTTGTACAAGTTTTATACACAGACTCGATTTATGATTTTTCAGTCTCAAATATTTAGCTGCGAATTTGTTTACTGTGTTCTTCACCAAATCTTTGTTTTTCTTTTCAATAGTGTTTGTGAATGACTATCAGAGTTCGCCATTTATACACAGACTCGATTTATGATTTTTCAGTGTCAAATATTTAGCTGCAAATTTGTTTACTGTGTTCTTCACCAAATCTTTGTTTTTCTTTTCAATAGTGTTTGTGAATGACTATCAGAGTTCGCCGTTTAACAATAGCGCGATTCCAAAACAAAAACAAACGACTGGAAAGGATCTCGGATGAAAATGGGCCTTTAATAACATAAAGACCACCTGGAATGGTATAAATAGCCTTATCAATGCCAACAAGAAAAAATCTCAAGTCATCTCATCGATAAAACGCCTTAACCACAACAGTATAACAACTGATCCTCTAGAGATTTCAAACACTTTTAATGAGTATTTCTCTTCTGTTGGCGAGAAACTAGCGTCGCGTGTACCACCCTCTTCTTGTAATTTTACGGAGTACTTGTCACCCAAAAATAATCCTAATTCCTTCTTTTTTTGATGCAGTCTCTCCAGTAGATATTGAACGAGAAATACTGTCTATTCCTCAAAACAAAACCTACGGTCTTTACTCTTGTCCAATCCATATTTTATCTGGTGCTAAACATATTATCTCTGGCCTTCTATCTAATATTTTTAATATCTCTGTGCAAGGTGTCTATCCATCCAACTTAAAGCAAGCGAAAGTTATTCCTGTCTACAAAAGTGATGATGTAACTGAATCCGGGAATTATCGGCCTATTTCGCTATTATCTATTTTTAATAGAATATTTGAAAAAGTGATGTTCCATCAACTTGAAACGATATCTTAAACTAAAACGATATCTTATTTAAATCCCAGTATGGCTTTCGTGAAAAGCTCTCAACTCAACACGCTGTTATTGACATTGTTAACATCATACAAAATAATATGGACTTAAAATTATTTACTTGCAGAATCTTCTTAGATCTAAAAAAAGCCTTTGTGAAGGTGTAGTCTGATCGTCCGGGTGAGTGTAGTCCTGAGAAGGACTGTTGTCGGTGGTAGTGACTGACGTTTCGACAACCCGTGCGGAAGTCATCATCAGAGTCAAGTGAATGATTGTTGTCAGTAGAATGTTCTTATTCCAGTTCGTGTGAAATGATCGGTTGGTTTTGCCGTGATGTTATTGGCTGTAAGACTCAAGTGACGTAAGTCGGTCGTGATTGGTCTGTTTCGATCTGTCGGTAAAGTTAGGTCGTTCTTTTTCGGTCGTTTGTGATGTTTATGTCGTGAATGAGTCGTTTGTATGGAGCGGGTAGTTGTTGACATCTGTTTAGGGGAGTCTGTTCTAAGTTAGTAAACCAGCTTTCCAGAGTCAGTCGTTGAAAATAGTCAGTGCTGTAGGTTAGGCATTGCGCAGAGTTTTAAGTGGCTGTCTTTTTCTGGAAATGTTATTAATTTATGTTTAAGCTTTATTTGTACTCTATCACCACTGCTGTACCTCTAATTCCCGCCCGCCTCAACTAGCTCCTGCTATTTGCGGGCGTGAACGGTCTTCATGCACATGAAAGTGTAAATTAGATCAATAATAATTAGATTAATTAAATTAATTATATTAATTTGTAATTTGTAATTTGTCATATCCTATTAAGCTTTCTTCTTATTAAGCTTTAATAAACTTCTATACAGGGTGATCATCGAACCAATATGCATGCTTTATGTTTACCGTTCTAGTCTTAGGAGGGAACGATGTTACATTTTTTTTCCCGTAAATGTACGGCCATAGGGAAAGTTTTCAATTTTTAATTTTCAAGTAACTATATGGTATCTTCTCCTTGATACTACTCGAGCGTACAGAATGGTTCTACATGAATTATGGATAACAATAGAACTAGCGCAGGCTACGATCAGCGAGCGGTAATATTTCAAATAATATGAGGATGTCAGGCGAGAAAACTTAACATTGTAACATTGGGTAATATTGGGTAACATTGAAAACGTTCGTGATTCCAGACTAATTGTAGCCGATGGTAGTAAATGAATACCTGCCCGATTTCAGACAAAAAAGCGAAAACAGTATTTTTGTAGTTGAAAAAGGAAATCGTCTAGTGCTGAGGATTATGAGAGAGAGGTAGACAGCTTGGTTGGAAATCCTAAAGTGGTTGTTGTATACTATGCGAACAGAGAAATCGTTGTGGGAAATAGGCAGTTGTAAAACACGGTGTATGTGCTTTTTTATTTAATTAGCTACGATTACATTTTAAACTCACAAAGCTATATCTCGGTTTGCTCCTATAACCCCAATGCCGCCATCAATGCCCTTCCGTCCCACTAGCATGTCTACCATAGCTTAAGAGCTTAAGAGCAGTTTATTTGAATTACCAACCAAAGAAACAGGTTCAGATCATTCACATAATGGATGTTTAGAACTGATATGAAGGGCCTCCAATAGAAAAATTTACATACATGTACAATTCGTAAGTTCGTGAACAATGTCAGCTGTTCAGGTAAAGTTGTGGATTGCGACAGCTCAATTCGGCTTCTTGTTACAGCTAAGAAATAAGGTTAAAAAACTAGGTGTGGTAGAATGCCTCCTCTTGAAACATGCAAATGGTCTTTGGTGTTTTTTTAGGTTTAAAGTTGTGGATGATTATCCTCATCGTGGTTGGGGTGCTATTTCTTGTTATTTTGGTTGGAAACATATGTTGCTGGTGCTTCAGCGCAACGATTTGTATTGTTGTCGTCATTCGATTTATCCGTAAATGTATATGCAAGGAAAATCAGGATTCAAAGGGTAAGTACAGTACATTATTATTAATTTTGACCAATTTCAATCAATCTTGTGAATTCACTTGTATTGTATTTATATTCTACACAAGTTATCCACGAGTTCACCATAGTGTCACTTTCATTTAATTTCGGGTTTAATTTTCACTGTACATCTATTATTGTGAGAGATGTGATCGAAATGAATGGAGACACCTAGAAGTTTAAACTATTTACTCAAAACGCATTTGTTAACGTATATAGTAAAAAAAAAAACAATCATTGAAAGAAAAATGTAGCCTCAAATTTGTAGGGTTGAGCATTGTTAGTTAGTACATATGATAGTTTTACCTTTGAATCGTTTGTTACCACGTTGGCCAAGCGGTGACTTGCATTAGTGTGTAGGGATTGTATACTAGTTTTATACAGTGTAATTAATATAGTCCTAATTTATTTACGGAGTGTTCTCTTTGCTTTTGTAAGAAGTCCATACTAATGAATGCCAAGACACGGAGAGGTATGTATGGGATACTTCTTGAATATTTCTTCCGTTACCACCACGTCAGCCCTTTCTCGTACTTATTTGTTAATTATTATATAAAAGTACTTATATTGAAATTTCTTGGAATATTTATTAATGGGAAGCTGGTAACTCTGCCTCCACTGACTTGTGAAAGTTTAAGCATAATTAATTTTCTCCGATTTTCATTTGTATTTGTTTGCTTCGCCAAGTTCGTGTGGGTGTTTATTCACTCGAGGGTTTTTAAATTCATTTTGAATGCGAATGAACAGTTTCTTAAACCGTAACATTTTAAAAGCCTTACCTGAGAGTTCAGTTAAAGGAAAGTCCAATTTACTGAAGAGTCATTCAACATTGTAGGGATAGGGGTTATGCCTCAGCTGACCACCAGTATGCAGTTACGGGTCCTAATGCCACCTATCGAGCCTCCAATCCATCTTCTTCGCCTCTAGCGACTTATGAAATTGCCAATAGGGAGTCTGAGGGAAGAAGAGGGCGTGGAGCAAGTGCACCGAATGAGCCACTCCCAGAATACGCAGTGGTCAATAAAACCAAGAAGAAAAAGAGGGTAAGGTTCTGCAATCAAGGAACCCTAGTTAACAGATCTTACGTTTTGATTGTGACGAGATCTGAGTAAAGTCTGTTTCGTAACCTAATGATCAATAGACCTTTTTAGCTTAATACGACATAGATTGGTCGCGTGGTCTGAAATGGGTAAACAACAGTTGCAGTTACAGTAAAGCGCAACTGCTGCAATATTTCTACAATTCGGATTTTTCTTTGCATAAATGCCCGGACGATTCTAAGCTTCAGACGTTAAGGATCCACGCTATATATCTTCAATTTCTAGTCGCACGAGTTGGTATTTTAATCTGCGTGAGTTAATGGTCAGAAACCCGGAGAAAAAAATTAGTCACGACTCGAATTCTACATATCATGTTTGTTTTTGGTTTCTCTTAAAACAGATTTGGACGTTAAGAATAAATTAAGATCAAAATAAAGAATTAAAAGTAACATCTAATACCAAAGTGGGCTCTGAACATTTCGAGGACGAGGATTTTAAGTACTCAGGGATTGAAAGCGGATGGGGCTTGTCAATCATTGTTTTTTATGGTCAACAAGAAGCTAATTCAAACAAAAATAGTGTTTCCAATGTTGTAAGGCATGATTGTCACAGTTCACGAAAATTCAGGCCAAAATGAATTACTTCAAAGCGTGGGAAGAGTGAAGATTATGGGAAATTTACATCTTTGAAGAGGGTAGGAAAAAGTCCGTCATGTTAAAACGCAGACTGCAGACCGTGCAGATTGTCTTTTAATTTTTTTTCTTTTTTTCTAACTCTGATTTTCACCTTTTCCTTACTATTTTGGTAACGTTAAAATGGTGTCCATTTTTTTGGACACCACCGAAGTAGTTTTACGAGGTTATTTTGAGCTCAGGTTACCTAGCAACAATTCGGACGAGATCTCAGGCTGAAATTTATCGAGCGTGTGGTGAGATGGAGATCGAAAAGGGTACGTTGTATTTGCATTTGCCCCAAGTTCTTTTGAGATGAATTTTATTTTTGTCGTATACTTGTGTTAACTCTTTATTTCTGTACTGAGGATGTAATCTGTTTGGAAACCGGTGACTCTAATTTAGAGGTAAGAAATGGGCTGCGTGGACGAAGGAAATAATTACCAGGATCTTCAAGTTCCCAACACGGCCAAAATAACTTTACAGTAAATAAAGTGCTGCAAGCTAAAATCGACTTTTACTCGGAAATAAGATCGTGCCCATACACTGGCACGCATTTTTTTCTGATAGGAACGGCATTGCTATAAAAATGAAACATTGATTCGTACGTTTCGTGGAAGCTCCTCTAAATAAGACTTTTCAGCTAAAATCAGTGAAAAGTAGATAAACATATATACACGTGGGTGAACCGCATCGAAGGGTTAATTAGTAAGTAACAAAAAAATCTCCCGTCTGCACGGTCTACACAGTCTACATGGTCTGCAGTCTGCAGTCTATGTTGTAACATAACAGGGAAAAAGTGACATTTCTAAGAAATATGAAGTTGTTCTTCCTGTCTAGGCTCTCCTGTGATGGTGAGACTTTCCCTTTTCAAGTTGATCATGTACATTGTTCACAACAGTTGACAGATTCCTAAAGTGAACATCCTTCCCCTTATGATGCAATTTGAAGTCGGAATGAGCTCATTAGCCCAGCGTAAACTGGGTGTTAGACATGAAAGTTATCTCGTAAACGCTTCGTAGTTCCTCGTTGGTATATGATAGTTGTAATTGTATATGTTGTCTTGATTTCTTAAATTTTTTAGAAAAATTTCCGACTGCCGGTCATCTAGTTTTGTTGGAGCCATGCCGGTATTCTTCGACCTCATGCAACTTCTAAGTATTTTGAGTCAGCGTAAACAGAGCGCTAGATACGAGAATTATGAATCTCCTCGATATCGCTGAGCCGTTCCTCATCGACCAATAAAAGTTTGGATTGTATAGGTTGTCTCGATTTCTTATAGTTAAGTTTTTCGAAACATTTCTTACTGTTGGTCGTTCAGTTATTTGAGAACCATGACCAGCAGTTGACCTCACGCAATTTCTGTGTCAGCATTTGCAATTTCGGGATCCATGGCTCCGTACTCTGAGCCCTAAGTTAGACATGACGGAGCATTAGACATGAGGTTTTTCAACACTTCGAGTCGCTTAGTAGTTCCTCATCGACTTAAAAGAGTTTGGATCTTGTAGGTTCTCTTAACTTGATAAATTTTCCGAAAAATATCGGACTGTCGGTTACTCAGTCGTTTAAGAACCTTGACTGGCTGCCGACATGCTGCACAAAATCAATCAGTGCTAAACTCTGACTATGTCTGCCCAGACTGCCAACGTCATTGCCGTTCACGTATAGGCTTGATCAGCCACCACAGAAAGCATACCACCCTCCTTAACTAATGCTTCTGAGAGAAAGGAGATCTGTCGGAACGACGACTCAGACCACCACCACCACCACCAACCAGAACATACCAACATATCGCGAAGCAAAATAAAACTTTACAGTTTTCTACAAAACAAAGCTTCATTCTAACCTCAAATCGAAAATTCGCCAAAAAGGTCTTTGTAATACATGTGCGTCCCTCATGCGTCCGTTTCATCATAGTTAACTACGGTTTCATGTATTTTTGCGATCCTGAATGTTCGTCTGCTCACACGTTTGTTTTTCCAGCTTGAGTCATTTGAGTGCTGATTTATCTGTGAATAAGAAAATTTCAGCGGGAGAAGAAGGAATTTCGTCCATAAGATGTCGTCTGCGGCACATGCTTATGAAGCCATTCGGGTTCTTGTCTACCCATTTCAAACCACTTGAACACAGCTGAAAAGACAGCGTTCGTAACCATGCCTACTCCAAATCATTCTCCACCATACAAAGATGCACACCAGTCCACATTCCTCCGCTTTGCTCAGACTAAGGGCTAACTTAAGCTTTTCAAAATTTATTACGGCCGCTCATCAACCTTTGTCAACCACTAGTTGATAACCAGCTAAGTGGGGTCTGCTTGTTCGCGTGCATGCACCCACTACCAAAGATAAAAATACCAAACCACCTAGGCTTCCCACCGAGCCTCTTCCTGACGAAAGCCTGTATCATTCCAAAGACTACATTTTTATAACGATTAATTATATAAATATGTGTTTATAATGTTTTTTCGATGATCTGTTTTCCAAAGAATACCCACAATTATCTGTTTCATTGAACTGCATCTTGTTTTTCTTTGTATCGCTGGCAGACACCTAAACCTGGTGAGCTTCAGTATGCTGAACTTGGTGACCTAACCGGTCGTGGAAAGAAGGCAACACTACCACCTGTTAGTGGTACGAGTACCGTGTATGCAGAAGTTAATTAGTAGAAGATGTGTGCAGCTATGTCAATGGATCATAAGTAATCACGTGGGTGAGACAATCGCGGAAACGGTGAAGGATGTGTAGCTTTACGTTGTAAAAATATTTTTAAGATATGGCAGATAACATGTATACATGGAACTGTTCTGCAAGTGTCTGTTACTTCAGATGCTATCAGAACTGCTGAAATATTCTGCCATAAGGTGAAGCATAATACATAGTTCTAAGTTTGCAGTAAAATATGGGAGAGGATTCAAATCTTGTTACATCTTACCGATTAGATGTTCCACCTATATAGCAGAAGAGTCACAGAAGAGTCACAGTTGGCATTATCTTATTCAGGAAATCTTAATTTCGCGTTTATTTTCGACTTGCTAATTTCTGCCCTCGCGATTTACAAAACTAGTTTCGTCAATATGCGAACGCAAGCATATTCCATGTAGCAACGTACGAAGAATAGCTTTTTGATACCTGGTTCTTTCTCTGAAAAGAAAGAATCAAGGATCCGGAAACAATTAAGATTCAATTTTTGAACCTTGTAGAGTATCTGTGATCATTCCTCAAACTTAGAAAACATGCAACACCTTTTATTCTGCGGGAGTGTTCACAATGTTAGTGCTTAGGAGATCAAGGATAAGAAAACAAGAGAACCGCTAACTTAGCGTTGTCGCTCTCAGCTTGATAATCCTTTTAATGGTTTCCTATGACGGCACACTTACATTTTTCCTGATATTCATGGTTTTCTAAGCTTGACAGTATGTCACTTTTGCCTAATTTGGGAGAGTGGAATGTTGTTCAGCAGTTTGTATGCAAAGGTGGTTTAATTTGATTAGCGAGCTTTCAGTTTCCCCTTAATTGGCTGTTTATCGTATGAAGGATTAGATTAGATATTCAAGCGGAACCGCTGCAGCTTAAAAGTATATTTTCCTAAAAATCACGAAATGGTGCTACTTAGTGGCTAATCCATTGATTTTCGCATATTTTGCACTCCCCACAATTTATCAAATAAATTACTTAGCGAGTTCTTAAACTTTCAAGCACGCACATTTTATAAAATACTGCAGTTAATTAGAAAAATTGTTAATATCAGATTCGACGTTGAAAAGAATGTGTGGCAGATCGAATGTAGTGACCTCCTTTTGTCTTTCTTTCTTGGTGAAAATTGGAAGAGATCTTCGATACTAGCGAGCGCCTCATATGTGAAAGGTTATTTTGAAATCGGAAATATGTGAAGACTTCCTCCAAGAAAAAAAGGTTGGGGAGGTTTCGTGCGAATTTGTATCCTGAGGTAATTTTTTTTGTATTGTTTATTCTTTCAAATGGTCTTCAAGATTTCAGTGCTATTTCTAGTGACAGGTAGCATTATTATGTATTTTTAACTTTTTCCTTTAAGTGGGAATTTTTTGAGTATAATTTCTCTATATGTTACCATGTATGAGCATAGTACCTTTGAGAAATTTGCATTTGGCATATTCTGTTTTGTGATGGCGATTTCTCTCTCGTTTTCTCCTGATTAATTATGTAAATTTTCCTTGATAAATTAAGCGTGATTTTCCTCTATTACAATTTATCGAAACAGTAATAATTACGTAGATTTGAGAGGGTCCCCTTCTAGAGTTTATGTAACAATTAGGTGTGATTGGTTTGAGATTAAGTGGTAGTTTAGGATCGGAATCTTGTATTTGCACTTTAATGGTTTTTTTTTTCTTGGTTTTGTTTCTTTTTGTTTTTGGGTTAGGTTATCTTATTTCTCAAATATTTAAGAGATAGAAGAATTCAATACAACTAACTCATTAAGCATAGGGCTCAAAGTACCGTTCGCGAATTCAAGATGTTAGCAATGTGGCCCTTTATCGGATAAGATTCCTACCCCCATTTTCACGAGTTACAAGACATACAATCAATACTTGTGAAAAATGTTCGTGGTTTGTATGACGCGGCGTTTCATCTCGGCCTAAAGACTCATCAGATACTTTTTGTAAGGTTCCAGCGAACTTGTCGAGCACTGCGCATCATCGAACATCGGGCATACCGTAGGGGAATTAAGAAGGAATTAATTGATATTCCTGGACTTTTCTTTAACCCATTAACGTCCAGTGCGCCCATGGGGACCCACACCCTTTCTACGCCCTGTGACGTCATCACTTTTAACCCTGGAGCACGAATTCGAGCACCTACTTGAACAAGTTGAAAATATCCTACAGACGATACCAGAAT